CTCACACACACACACACACACACACACACACACACACACACACAATACACATTTACTTACACCGACGCACATAAACGAATAGTTCTAGGAACACACACAAAATAATGATAATTTCGCATTCCTGCGCGCATATTTGTGAAACTAAAAAAGTAACTTAATATTAATAATACTTTTCATTTTGGCGCTCATATAACCTTATGCAGTTGCGAGCGCCGTAAAACCCTCTACTATAAAAAAAATACTTTGCATTCGTATAGCGCAAATCACCGCTCAACAGCAAGCTCTATGCGCTTCACAATCTATACTATTACCCCAGCAGACCTGATAGCATTCTGAAACAACCCCAACTTTCTGGGAACCATACAGTGCAAGCTGCCATTTTTTCATGGGCGCTAAAACACTAACTTACTAACAAGATCTTTAATTTTGCTGTGACTTACTGGTAACTAAACTTCTTTCACAGACTGAAGATTTTACACACGTGATTACAAATCTATCTAACAGGTGGAGAGTGCGCGGCCTCAGTGGGCAAATGCTTGAAGAATCTTAGCGCCGACCTTTCAAACATCCAAGACACCACCAAGTTCAAAGATATGTGCAAGTACGTTGTTGGCATTCTTGTATTGTCAAAATTCTTTCATCTAACCCTGTAACCTGTTACAAGTATTCATATGACATTAGAGCATGCATCAGAAGAACAGTCGCTTTTATGCAAAAGGGGGCTATCCCGAAAACCCCCCTCCCCCCCCCCCCAAACAATTTTGAGAAAATTGAAGGTAGAGTTGTTGCCCCTTTTTCAGTTTCTTTAAAAGGCAAGGAGAGTTTTCGCAATAGCCAAACAAATATATACACCAATGAAACCAAACTTCTCCTATAGGTAGGGCAATGCCCACTTTTTGTGTAGGTCAACAATTCTGGAAACCTCCGAAACCTGGGTTAGCCCGCTTGTTCTTAAAAGCAATCAAATTTCTACCTACGAAAGGAATACAGATTGTCCATCTGTCATTGTCCATCTGTCATTGTCTATCTGTCATTGTCCATCTGTCATCATCCATCTGTCTTTGTCATTGTCACTGTCACTGTCTATCTGTCATTGTCCATCTGTCATTATCCATCTGTCTTTGTCATTGTCACTGTCACTGTCTATCTGTCATTGTCCATCTGTCATTGTCCATCTGTCATTGTTCATCTGTCATTGTCCATCTGTCATTGTCCATCTGTCATTATCCATCTGTCTTTGTCACTGTCATTGTCATTGTCATTGTCACGGTCATTGTCATTGTCACTGTCATTGTCATTG